GCTTCACAGATAAGGAAAAGCTAAAGGAGTTCATCACCACCAAACCAGTATTATATGAAATGCTGAAAGGTATCCTTTAAGAAGAGGAAGAAGAAGAAAAAGGTAAAGATACAAATTATGAACAACAAACATGCATCTATCAACAAGTGAATCTAAGAACCAAGTGAATAAATAATCTGGTGATCATAATAGAATCAGGGACATAGAAAGGGAATGGACTGACTATTTCTTGGGGGGAAAGGGGTGGGGGAGATGCGGAAAGAGACTGGACAAAAATCGTGCACCTATGGGTGAGGACAGTGGGTGGGGAGTGAGGGTGGAGGGTGGGGTGGGAACTGGGAGGAGGGGAGTTATTGGGGGGGGGAAAGAGGAACAAATGTAATAATCTGAACAATAAAGATGTAATTTAAAAAAAGATTTGAAGTAAATTTAAATGTAAAGAATTAGGGTGAGGAGGGGCTATGCATAGTCATCAGTTCTAATCCAGGGTCTGGATAGTGTGGGAACTAAGCCATCTAAGGTAAGGAGCGTGGAAGGGCAGGACAGAATGAGGTCATGGCAGCCCGGCAGAGTCTGTTGGTTAGTCCTATACGTGTCCATATTTGACCTAGACATCCCATCTTCCTGACTGACAAACCTCGAGTTTCTTCAAGGGTCAGGTAGCAGCCCGGCTGTTGTCACTCAGTGGTTGAGCGTCGACCTATGAACCAGGTAGTCACAATCCGATTCCTGGTCAGGGCACATGCCTGGGTTGCAGACTTGATCCCCAGTGTAGGGCATTCAGGAGGCAACTGATCAATGATTCTCTCTCTCATCATTGATGTGTCTCTCTCTCTCTTTCTCCCTCTCCCTTCCTCTCTGAAATCAATAAGAATATAGATTAAAAAAAAAAAAAGAGTCAGTCGGCCAACAAGGGTGCTGTTACTTGAGTTCGAGGACGTGGTTCTGCAGTGCCTGCAGGTCTGCCGAGGGTCACTGGGCTGCTCACGGCGCCTGCTCCGGCCTCTGGGACCAGCCAAGCCTGGTGGTCTCTGGAGGACTGTGAGGAGGCCTGGTGTTAATCTGCTGAAAAACACTAAAAATAAACAGAGAGAGAAAAACTATTATGGTCTGGTTTCGGTCTGAGGTCCCTGGGGGGCCACCTGGCTTCAGTGTAGGGGGCCCGGTTTCGTTGCACTCACATGGTTTCAATTTTTACATTTATGACTCTGATCCACTTGGAGTTTACTTCTGCTGTGTGGTGTGAAAAACAAATCCAATTTTCCCTTTTCCTAAAAGGCGTGTCAGTTGTCCCAACACCAGTTTTATAAAAATCCACCTTTACATCTGTGATTGGAATTGCCACTTTTCTCATATCCTAAATTTCCATATGTACTTGATCTATTTCTAGATTTTCTATTTTGTACCATTTTTATTGTTCATAGTATCACATTGCTGTTTTTTTTAAGTTATTGTGATTAAAAAAATATATATAATAAAATTTACCATTTCACCTTTTTGTTGTTAATCCGCACTGAGGACATTTTTTTTCCATTGATTTTTAGAGAGAGTGGAAGAGTGGGAGGAAGAGAGAGAGAAACATTGATGTGAGAGAAACACATCAATTGGTTGCCTCTCACATGTGCTCCAACCAGACCAGCCCCGGATCAAGTCTGCACCTCAGTAATTGACCGGTAATTGAACCTGTGACCCTTCGGTGCTCCAGCTAATGCTCTGACCACTTAGCAACACTGCCCAGGGCCCATTTCCACCATTAAAAAAATATTTCTTTAATTGATTTTAGAGAGGAAGGGAGAGATAGAAACATCCATGATAAGAGTGAATCGTTGATTGGATGTCTCCTGCACATCTCCCACTGGGGATTAAACCTGCAACCCGGGCATGTGCCCTGACCAGGAATCAAATTGTGACCTCCTGGTTCATATGTTGACGCTCAACCACTGAGCCACAGCAGCCAGGCTTAATTATTTTTTAAATGATGGCTTGACTGAGATATAATTTCCATGTTATACAGTGCACCTATGTAAAGCATACAATGGTTTTTAGTACTAGTATGTGCATAGAGTTGCACAATCATTGCAATAATCAATTTTAGAAGATTTCCATCACATCCCCACCCCCACCCCCCCCCCGCCGTAAGCCTATACCGCTAGTGGCTATTCTTCCCCCATACCTGGCAACCACTAATCTACTTCTGTCTCTATGGGCTTGTCTACTCTGGACATTTTATGTACATGGAACAGTACAATACCTTACTGGGTTCTTGTATTGTCTGAGCTCAGCGCTTTCTGTATCTTACCTCCTGAAACTCTCTCATACCAGCCCTATGGTGAGGTCCTACTTTTATCTCCAATGACAGGTGAGGAATTGGAGAGAGGCGATCATCTCGTCCTGGGTCCTAAAGCTGGAGAGTGGCAGCTCTGGGGTCCCTGAATTCAGGGTCTTTTCTGTGGTCAGGGTGTCCCACAGAGTGCTCTGTCCCCAGTCCTTCAGGCTTCCCTCGTGGGGGGCGGGGGCTGCCCAGCTGCAGGCGAGGCCTCCTAGGAAGCTGAACAGGCCCTCCCACCCCCAGGTGTACATGTTCCTGGTGAAGTGGCAGGACCTCTCTGAGAAGCTGGTCTACCGGCGGTTCACCGAGATCTATGAGTTCCATGTGAGTGCCTGGGTAGGGTAGGGGGCAGGGGGGCAGGGAGGGACGGCATTCCCAGTCCCAGCTCTGCCTCTTGGGGAGGAGAGAGACCCAGGTGCTGCCTGGGAGCTGAGGCGCCCGGAGTCTGTCCTCACCGGCCCACAGTTAAGGGGGAATTTCTTAAACTTTAAGAAACATTTTACTTAATCTATTTTTATTGTGGTAAAATGTGTATAACATAAATTTACAATTTTAACCATTTAAGTACAGCTCAGTGGCATTAAGTATATTCACCATGTCATGTGCTGATCATGAGCATCCATCTCCAAAACGTCTTCATCTTCCCACACAGAAACTCTGTGCCCATTCCACATGAACTCAGGACAGTATTCTTTAGGGACATACTTGATATACACTGAGTGGCCAGATTATTATGACCACCCCATCAGTACAGTGAAGTGAATTAGTAATGCAAATAATAATAATAACAAAACCTTGAGAGTATTTGCTTAGGAAGTTTTCAATATGCAGTATTTTTGGAAATGTCAGTGAAGTACTGATGGGGTGGTCACACAGCCAGAAAGAGAAGGAGGCAAAATTCCAGCCCTGCAGCCACTCAGCATCCTTTCCAAGTCTCCACGTGGACCCCTCTGAGCATCAAGGCTGCAGGAGGCACTGGGGGCTGGGGGTCCAAAAGCCTTTTGAAAACAGTTTACCCATGTGTGATGGGGCAGTGAGGGCCAAATGTAGTCCCAGGTACTACGGAGAGCAGCGGTTCTCAACCTGTGGGTCGCGACCTCTTTGGGGGTCGAACGACCCTTTCACAGGGGTTCCCTAAGACCACCGGAAAACACATACATAATTACATATTGTTTTGTGATTAATCACTATGCTTTAATTATGTTCAATTTGTAACAATGAAAATACATCCTGCATGTCAGATATTTACATTACGATTCATAATAATAGCAAAATTACGGTTATGAAGTAGCAATGAAAATGATTTTATGGTTGGGGGTCACCACAACATGAGGAACTGTACTAAAGGGTCGCAGTATTAGGAAGATTGAGAACCACTGTTTATATATGTGTTTTCCAATGGTCTTAGGTGACCCCTGTGAAAGGGTCGTTGGACCCCCAAAGGGGA